ACTGAGGCTCTGGGCCCTGTGACTGCCCTGTCCCACTTGTAGAGTCCCCAGGGAGTGGGGAGTGTGTTCTCTTCTTCAACTGATGGAAAAGCCGATTCTGGATGAGGGGCTGGGAGGAAGCACAGAGGGCGTGGCAGTGGCTGGAAGGGCTAGAAGCTGCCCCTCAGCTTGGCCAGGGACAGGGCATTGTCGCCACTTGGGCCAGACAGAATTAACCAGAGCAATGGACCTCTGATTTCACCTTTTCGTCACCAACCCAGAGCTGCCTCCCTCTTATGAGCTTTCACTCCTGCTATTAGAGGACAGGATGATACTGAGAGGACTGTCTGTCAGGCTCCTTGGACCCTGTGCCCCATACCAGGGTGACCCATTGTCCTCCTTGCATGTTACTGCCATGACCTCAGTCTGTTCTTCCTTGTCTCCTGGGGGCAGACAGTCTGCTGACTGGACTAGAAGCCACAGACTGGTGTTATCCATTCCTCAGGGAAGTTTAGCTAGAGCCAATGTGGCCAGGACCATTCCTCCCAGCTGGCCTGTGCCTCCTGCCTACCTCGTCCTTCTTGGCTCTGGACAGGAGGGTGGTTTGCTGCTGGTAGAGGGGGGTATCCTATTGCCAGGACAGAGAGAGCAAAGCTGGGACCCCGAGCCTGGTCTCGGGATTGGCCTGTAGCGGTCACACCTCCCCAGTTCCTGGGGTTGTTTACATGTGATGTATCAGCCCTTGGTGGTCACTGCCAAGTGTAAGGAGGGCCACCTACCATCCATTTAAAGCTCACTGTCCTGTTCGCCTCCATGTCTCTCCTCATCCTTCCTAACATGGGCCCCGGGTCACAGCAGCTGGTTTGCCTCATCAGCCGTCTCCCACCACTGCCTCTGCCTCTGCCTCTGCCTCTGCCTCTGCCTCTGCCTCTGCTGGGCACTTCTCTGAAGCGGCTTGTCCCCATACCCATCCCAGGCCACAGGCTTGGTCATGGTGCCCTGGTGGCCCCTCCCCTTCCCCTGTACAATACAAGGCTGTCTACAGGGTCTGGTGCTCCACTGTGTGTGTGCTGCTTTCATCTGAACCTGCCTATGCTCCCCATAAGGCCAGCTCCCCTGTGCTGTGCCAGCCATGCCCAAGGGCACCTCCATCTCCTACGCTTTTACGAAAAGATCTAAGCTTGGGATTGGAACCCTCTTCTCACCCCCCTGCTTCTTCGTCTGTCATAACTGGGGCATTTCCCTGGGTGGCAGGCAGAGAACGTCCCATGTGGACTGCTGCCTGCATCCCAGGGCAGTTCTCACACACGTAACACACGCAGGCTTCAGGGACAAACTGATGGTTGCCTGGTGAGCTGAGTGACCACCCGAGGCCCAGCAGGCCTCTGGGTGAGTTTCAGGTGACCCCTCACTTCCTCTCGGGGACGCTGGCATTATGTGGCGTCTGGTGTGCACTCACTTTTTTTTCGTAGAAGTTCGCCACCCGTTATAAATGCTGTTGCTAGAGGGTTCCCACGCCAGTCTTACGCTTCTGTGTTTCATCTAACCGCTCCGTGGGTCCGCCATGTCCTTGGCTCACCCTGACTTCCCACACAAGCTCTTTCCACATTCAAAGTCATGTCCACCACACCCATGGCCTGGCGCTTCCTGGAGTGAGCTGGGCTGTGCCTTCACCTCCCCAGCCAGTCCCTCCACCTGGGCTGTCTTTCTTCCTTAGGCTTCTGTTTTATTTAGTTATTACATACATTCAAGGACCCGCGTCTAATAAAAGTTACAGTCATGAAACACACCCGTCCATCCTCATAGTTTCCTCTTTTATTTCTGATTTTTGTGAGGAGAGGCCCTGAACCCAGGTGAAGAGAGGTTCCATTGCCGGCAGCACCCTAAGGACTGCTGAGGGCCCCCAGTGGTTTCATTTGCTGTGGGCGGCCGTGCTCACTCAGCTATCTCCTCTTTGCTCTTTCAGATCCAAAGGACATCAAGTGCTCCTCCACCCTGCCCACGGTAAGAGCTCCTAATACCTTCCAGAACAGCCTAGTCCTCTTTGCAGCCCACACTGCCAGAAGGGAGAGGCTAGCCACAGCCTCACACACGACAAGATTCTCTCTCAGCCCACATCACCACCCACCGAGCCCTTCCTGCTGACCAGCCCCTATGTCCTCAGTGCCACCTGCAGAGGCTACCTGAAACATGTCGCCACAGCCTGGCCTGACATCCCTCAGTGGCCCCCATTTCCATCAGCATAAAACCCCCCCTTAACCTGTTCACCCTCTCTGCCTGTGGCTAGCAGGCAGACCCACGCTGTCAGCTCTGGGGACAGTGCCTGAACTGTGCAGCAGAAGGCACCAGAGCCCCTTCCTGTTGATGCTCAACAACTGTTTAGAGGGGACAGTGTCTGGCAGTTTATAAACCAAAAACAAAAGCAAGCAAAGAAGACTGCTGTATTCTGGAAGAGTAGCTATGGCTGATATTTGAAAGTGTCCTCAAAGCCATGTCCCTGCTGAAGCGTAGATTTCAGAGTCCAAGCTTATAGAGCCCGTGATGTTTCCATTGTGATCTGAGGCCTCTGCGAGTCACACAGGTGGCCAACCTCTAGACACAGTAGAACCTTGACACTCGCTTCCATGTGGGAACATCTGTCCCTCTGGACAGCTATGGCCACACCTGGGGAAGCGAGATGTCCTAGAAGTGGCTTCTTCCTCACATACAGGGACCAAGCCAGCCCAAGCTACTGTATCTGCTGCTGGTGTGTGTGTGTGTGTGTGTGTGTGTGTGTGTCTGTATGTGTCTGTGTGTGTGTGTGTGTAAGTGTGTGTGTGTGAGAGAGAGAGAGAGAGAGAGGGAGAGAGAGAGAAGAGATGTAGGGCTGAGTCTGGACTGATTCTGCCTGGTTCTCTCCTTTTACATGATTTTGCCTAAAAGGTCCAAAATACATTTTAATTTTCTCCTTTTCAATTCTCTAGTCTCTGAGTGAGTCCCCGTGGTCTCACAGAGCTCAGCTGTCCTGAGGGTTCTGTGAACAGGGATCATGAACAGAACAGCTGGTCTCACAGTGGGGCTCAGCTTCAACACAAAGTCATGGGGGTGCTCATCCATATAACAGCAGAACTCTCTAGAGAGGGAAAATGTCAATTAGTCTTTGTCAGAATTCAAGACTTGTGTTTCAGATGGTACCATCTGAAGTGAGGCAGTCCCGCAAAATGGGAGAAAATATTTACAAGTTGTGTCTGGGGAGGGACCTGTATGTAGAATACACAAGGAACTCATTGCTAAGTCACTAGTGAGACAAGCTTTAGTGAAGCTGCCCTTCCTACACAAAGCCTCCAGAAGGGGACACATATGTGGGGACACATCCATGGTGGTGACTAACGAGCCAGTGGGTGTGGGAGGGCACAGAGTGACAGCCTCCTGTCTCTAAAGGTGAGGAGCATTCTGGGATTGAGGTCCGTGCTGGATACAAGGCTCTGACTCACAGACCACTGCACTGTGAGCTTTAAGTGAAGTGGTGCAGTGTGGGTGTTTGGAATTTTTCCCAGGAAGTCATGAGACAGCAGCATTATTTCTGGTCATTTGCCACTTTTTTTCCCCTCATCATTTTTCTGTGGTGATAGAAGTGTTCCTTTAAAAAATGTATTAATTTGCAGTGTGTAAGCATTCATCTGCGCATGTGTATATGCACTGGGTGTGTGCACTGCCTGTGGAGGCAGAGGCAGAGGAGTACATCAGATCCTCTGGAACTGGAGCTAAGATAGTTGTGAGCCACTATGTAGGTGCTGGGAATGGAACCCGGGTCCTCTGGGAGAGAAGGGCCCTTAACCTCGGAGCCATCTCTCCAGCCCCAGCACACATGTTCTTAAGGAACACTCTAATGAGATGCTTTTTCTTCCAGCACTCCAAAATCTCGGAGAACGGCATGAACAGATTTAGATTGCAGAAGCAAACCACACACACTGAAAAGAATGGACCTCTGGTGAGTGACACATGGCTTCAACCTGCAGGGACATCTGCAGAGATTCAGAACCAGCCCCCAAGCCCTGTGGGCAGACTGGCTGTCCCTGCGCCTCCGTCACTTCTCAGACACCCAGGTTCTTTAAACCTTGAATCTGCTTGTAACCCTAAAGGGCATCTGAGCTACCTTCATTGACTTTCTCTGGACAGTCAGCTACTTGCATGTCTTCAAACAACCCAAAAGCCATTCATCCATCCAATAGTTGTTTTTCTAGCTCAAGGAGGTTGAGGAGGCTGAGGAGGCAGGTGCAGATGGGAAGTGAGCAGAGACCTCCATCACATGGTGCCCGGGTGGAGAGGCAGGGCAAGCAGGTGCTGTTCCAGCTGGCCCCAGCAGGTGTCACTGCAACACAGCTGTGTGGCAGGTGGGTGTTGCAGGTCCGGGCACACAGTGGGCTAGGCATACAAAGTGTTATAAAGAGTTCATGTCACAGGCCCAAGAAAAGGTGACCGATGTCTTAAAAGATCATCTCTTACCCTTTCCCCCGCTTTCCAGATGAAGAAACTAAGGCACAAAGGTGCTAAGTTCCTGATCCATGGCCCAGAAAAAGCCCAGAAACCTTCTGCCCATGCCTGGCCCTTCTCTCTGCTGTGCCTTCACATAGTTCTTCTGGATTCAGTTCCTCAGACAGTTCACTGACTTCCTGAGCTGAGCCTTCTGGAACATTTTAGACTCAGTCTTAGTCCAGTCCTTGACACTACAGCTGCTTTCTTTCATTTTGAAGTAAGGTTGCTTGAAGGATCGAAGCGCTAAGCATGTTGTCACATTCTTTATTGCCCAGGAAATTTAATTATGGTGTTTGAAGTGTGAATAGAAAGACACACAATATCCCATACATCCTGGTCTTTGCACTTTAAGGAGCGCATGGGCTGTGGCTGATTAACTAACATGTTTACAGATCTGTCCACCCTGCAGTCCGGAGGCCACATGCCCCCCACTGTGGCATAGCTATTAATGCAGCCCGATGCACCGTTCTTGAATGTGGACTTTGTAGATGACAGCATTGTGTCTCAATGTCGAGAGTCTGGGCATGACTGCAAGAATTTCAGCTCACCTGAGTTTTATTTTTCAATGTCACGTCTTGATTAATGTTTTCACACCTCTGTGACACTTCCTCTGTGGTGACTGTGAAGGCTGACATTTTCTTCTTTGTGGTAACTAACCTGCAAAGACTCACTCCGGCTTCAGTGTATAGCTTCTCTGGAAGTCTGTTCACTGCCACCAAGAAGCCAGCTACACCGCAGCTTGGTAGCCTTATTCAAGCCAACCACAGTGGGGACTGACCCTGCCCACATGGTGTTTGAGCAAGCCCCTGCCTCCGAGCTTGCCATGGGTTAGGATATGTAACGGGGTGTCCCCCGAGTTTGGCAGGAGCCTCTTTCCCAGAGTGTTCCAGCCTGAGCCCAGGTGCAGATCACCGCTGCTCATGCCAGGCACAAGGCTTAATGCAGAGGCCACGTGTGGCTGCGTGGGGAGCCCCCTTTGGTCTTTGTGGACTGGTGATGGCTATACACATAATTCCCATCCCCGTGGCCACCTGTCCTCCTCATCCTTGGTGTCTGTGACCCGTCAGGGCTCAGACACTATTGAGACCCCACAGAGCCTCACAATGGGGAGCCCGTACACCTGTGCCTCACTTGCTAGATGGGAAGCGCAGACCCCACCAAGGACAGGAATCCCACAGTGTGACTACAGGCACTTGCAAGTGAGGCATTTCAGTAACAGCAGTAGCCTTTGCGAATGTGTGTGTGTGTGTGTGTGTGTGTGTGTTTGAGAGTTGTTCTTTTGTCAGTAGCAGGGACAACCTTTGCTCTTGGGCAGCAGCTGGAGAACCCTCATTCATCGTGCAGCCCTCAGGCTGGAGCGCACATGGAACCTGCTTATTGAGTGTTTGAGACAGGAGCCCCGCCCCCTTCCCCCCAGGACTTGTCTCTTGTTATTCAGTGGCTCCTCGCCCACTCTGGAAGGAAATAGCAGTCCCCTTTGCTTGCTTTGGAAGACCTTCCACTGCCTTACTTTCCCAGCTCTTCTAACCTGCAAAGGGAATGAGCCTTCTCTAGAGGCCTGAGGGTGGACTGGTGCCTGCTTCCAGAGCAGTCTGAGTCTGCAGCTTTAGGAGAGCCCAGCAGGTGGCGCCTTAGGGCACTTTACACTGAGAAGAGCAGGTGGGCTTTCTGTGGCTGACCTGTTCTTAATTACGTTCCAGGTCACTGACTGCTCCTCTCCTGGCCAGGTGGACTCTCTCCATCTTACCCCTGGCTAGGCCTCTTTCCGTTTCACAGGGCCCGAGAAGCCCTGCCCACCTCAGCTTGATCCCCAGGGACTATCCTGAAGCCTGGAGCTGTTGGGAGGTTTCTGCAGCTCAGCCAGCCCAGGAACAGGGTCTTGGGCTCTCAGAGGAACCAGTGTTAAGTACGATAGAGAACTGGTGGAAAGTCTTCCAAGCTGGACACCTGACTAGATTCATGAGAGGAGAGCCAGTTCCTGATGCAAGTGGCAGCCCTTTGTTCCCTGTGCCTGTGAGGACTTAAGTGTGTCCCTCCTGCACACCTGAGCTTCTCATCTTCCTTCTTAAGTATTGCACACAGGTTCAGTGCCGAAATACCCTCCTGGTCAGTGAGCCTGACCCGGCTGATGTGTCTGTCTCGAGCTCACACACAATGCTGAGTGTCTGCATGTCAAACCTGCCACCTACCTTTCTCCTTTTTATGTAATGTGTGTGCCTGAGTGCCTGCTTGTCTATTATGTGAAATGTGTGTGCAGTTTCCACAGAGGCCAGAAAGGGTCATCGGATCCCTAGAGCTAGAGTCACAGGCATTTGAAAGTTGGAAATTGAGCCTGGGTCCTTTGCTAAAACATCAAGTGCTCTTAACCCCTGAGCCATCTCTCCAGCCCCCATCATCTTAAAAAAAAAAAAATCTACTGTATTTTGAATTCACCTTACATGGGTAAAGACAAATAAAATGCATCCGTGGCTGTTGGATCCCACAGCACATCTAAAGTACCCAGGAACACTCCTTTGTAAGCCCCCCAGGATTCATAGTTCATTCAGGAAAAGTCTTTTTGTATCACCCTTGCTCTGACTTAAAATCCCATGCAGAGCTGGGCTCTCTTTGCTTTGCTCCAGTGAGCACAAATTCTGTCCCTTAAGAATTGTCCCCAGTACCAGAAGGCACAAATCTCAGAACTAGCTTGCGAAACTTAGAGTAACATCACTTCTGTCGGTGTTTGTTCTTTTGAACTCTTGCAAGGTCCATGTTCCTGTGACGAATTCCTTCCTAGCAGGTCCATGAAATTGCTTCATTGTACACCTCAGGGACCACATTGCTGGGTTAGAGTTTAGCTTCTCTTCCCAGAAAAGTACCCTGTAGATGTGGATGAATATGGAAACCATCCCTTCAGGCATGTTCAACCATGTCGTCATCTGCAAGGTTCATGCCAAAGAGCTGTGTAATTGAGTTAAACAAACAAACAAAAAAACCCACTCACACATAAACACATACACACACTTAAAAAATCTCTTACTGTTTTAAGTATGTTTATAATTGTGTGTTGGGTGGCTTCCTGAGTTATCTGTGGCCACGTGTCAGCCCTGTGCAGTAATCTGGACACACATGGTTAGATCATAATGAAAATATAACCTGATTATTTTGCGAGGTGCTAAAAATCTTTTCCTGTTACCAGAATCTTCCAGATGTCAGGTGCAAGATACATCATCCAAGTGGTGTACTTTAACCCACTGATCTTTCTCCACGAGTGGGGTTCATTTTTCTGTTTTTGTTTTTGTTTTTTTTTTGGGGGGGGTTGTTTTGTTTTTTTCAAAACAGGATTTTTCTCTGTGTAGCACTGTCTGTCCTGGAACTATCTCTGTAAACCAGGCTGGCCTCTGCCTCTGCCTCTGCCTCCCTAGCACTGGGATTAAAGGCGAGTGCCACCACCACTCAGCTGCTCTTCACTATTTCTGAACCAAAGAGTTTAATGAGTTAATGGCATTTCATGAGCCAGGTGGATACTGACGGCTGATGTGACTTTGGGGTTGATGACTGATGTGACCACGGGGTTGACATTGTCACCCGTATGTGTTCCTAAGGCTCTTAGCAGGAAACCAGGTGGCTTAGAATTCAGCCAGACACTCCGGTGACATCTGTCCCTTTTGCTTTCATCTTCAGGACCCAGAGCGGCAGTGTTTGCTGCTCTCTGATGGGAAGAGCTCCCTCCACCCGAGCCACATCGTGGTCCTTCCCAGTGACAGCAGTGGAAGCATGGCAGCCATCAGCTTCACAGGAGCCCTGAGGATCCCGGTGAGTCAGCACGCCAGGGAGAGCGCATGCTACAGGAGAGGAGTTTGAAGGAGAAGTGTGTTGTGTGGCTGTGTAGTTTGTGGGTGCGGTCCTCCCATCCTGTGTGGGCAGTGTGGCTGGTCACTCTGGGGTGAATGTGGCTGTGTATGTGAGTTCTTCGTTTTGTCCTATTTCTATCATTTTGAAATTCATTTTTTTTTTCCGCTCAGAAATTTCATAGACAGATTAAATCTGACAAATGTTCTCGCTTGGAAAACGGAAAGCTGGCTGTTCTGGTCCTGTACCAATGTTACCGTCTGTCCCTCTAGAGTCTCTGCCCTCCCAGTCACTTGCCTTCCGGCTCTGAGGGAATAGAGGGAGGCACTCTGTGCTCACCCTGTGTTCTGTGGTTCTACCCAGCCTGCTCTGCTTCCCAGCATAGTGAGGGTCTGAGTGCCCAGCGTGGCATGTGGCCACAGGGAGGGAAAGAACTGAGGGAGTAGAGGTTACAGAAGACTACCCAGCAATGCACTGGGGTCCTAAGCGGCTGGACCTGCTTATGTGCTGGCCCTCATTGTCAGCTGGCTCCCACAGTGCCCTGAGTTAGCCATCTCACAGTTGATAGTTCAGTCTCCACAGCTCAGGCGCAGGCCTGGGCACTGGCTTCCTGAACGGGCCTCACAGCCAGCCAGCAGAACATGGCAGCTCTAAATGAACCTCATTTCTAAGACTGTGTTTTTGCTACTGGCTAGCAGCCCGTCTGTGGTACCTTAACTGCTGTAGATTGCTACCTCAAATACTCCTGCTGACATCAGCTGGGCAGCAGACTAGCATAGCACATGAGTACATGCAAGTCATGGGTAGTGTGAACAGGACGGGCTCCAGAGGCCTGGCCCAGCTTTCACACTCCTCCTGCCCCTGCCCAGCTGGCTGACCTGAGCATCCACACCAAACTTCTGTTTGCCCGGCACTGGGCAATGCTATCTGTCGATCTGAGGGTGAAGTGAGATGGGTTCGCCCCAGGGCAGAGCATGCCAGGCATGTAGTGGGCTAATGGTGGATGCCACACTCCCATCCTCGTGCCATGAGAACAACTAGAAAACACCAATGGTGGTGGTGAACGGGGTTCAGTGTGCAAGTGTGGGCATGCATGTATGTGTGTGATGCTTGCACATGAGTGTGAGGGTGCACACACTCATGTAAACACATGCTGAGGCCAGAGGAAGAGGTCGGATGTCTTCAGCTATCGCTCCTCACCTTATTACTTTGAAGCAGGGTCTCTCCACCTGAACTGGAAACTTGCCAATTTGGCAGGTTGCTAACCAGTGAGTTCCCAGGATCTGCCTGTCTCCACCCTCCAGTGCTGGAGTTACAGACACACACAGCTATGCCTGGCTTTTTATGTGGATACTAGGGATTTGAACTCAGGGTACACTTGGACAGCAAGTGCTCTTACTCACTGAGCCATCTCCCCAACACAGACCCGGAGTCTTAATGAGCATCCCCTCTCCTCCCAGGAGGAAATCACTGGCCATCATTTGGCATAAACTATCTCATCAATATATATTCTCATTGGCTCTTGTTTCCGTGGACATCGTGTTTCTGCCTTCCAGGCAGCCAGGCGAGTGTGTGCTCCAGATCTCCTGGGGCTTGCTTCCCTGCCATGGTGTCCTCCCCTGAGCCAGGTTGAACCCTTGTAGAAACACAGCATGCCTGCAGGGGAATAGCCATTTGTACTCTGTCATACTTGGAGTTGACGGTCGCCCTCCCTCCTCCAGGGCGTGATCGAGTTCTCTCTGTGCTTGCTGTTTGCCAAGCTGGTCAGCTACACATTCCTGTTCTGGCTCCCACTGTACATCACCAATGTAGGTAAGTGCTTGCTGGAAGTGGCTGCCCAGAACTCCTTTATACCTAATGGGCCAGAGCCGTGTAACTGGGACCACCCGTGGTAAGTGGAGAGGGATGGCGTGGCTCAGCCGATGGGAGAGAATGGACAGGTGCACACGCTTTGTGGCTCTGGCAATAATCTTCACTGGGCTCGTCGGGCACACCCCGACCCCTCTGCAGTTCTCAGAGGCCGCCTGCTTTTAAATCTGGGCCATGTTGAGCTCTGGAGCATAGCATCCAGCAAGCAAGAGTGTGGCCACTGGGAATTGAGATAAGACATCCTTAGAAACCTGACCTAGAAACTGTTTCTGGGAGTGCGTCCTGATTTAAGGGAGGGCTGACAGCCTGTCTTAGGTTCCCAGAGTCTAAGAACGTCTGAAGCTGTGGATCCTGATAGGGCGTTCCGGGGAATAGTACTATACAGTTGTGCATCGTTTGTGCTTAGCGTGACAAGGGGATCAGCAGTTCCAGGGAGCCAAGTCAGGGCTGTGGCAGGTTCTGTACTGATGGGGTGGGGGTCACAGGGCATGCTGAAGAGGAGAGAAAGGAAAAGCAGCAGGGTTTTGTAGATACAGCCTTGGCCTTGGGCTCTGTCAACAGCACAGGAAGCGGGGGATTTAAGAATGGGAGGGTCAGGTTTCAGTGGGTGTCATAAGGCCTTATCAAGGTTGACCAGAGCCCAAAGCTGGAGGGAGTGTCGACAGAGAAGCCAGAGAAGCTAGGGAGGCAGCAAGGGGACCTTCTGGGGATGTGGCTAACAAGGACAAGCAGCAGAAAGAAAGAGGGTGGGTGAGCAGGCAGCAAAGAGCTCCCTCAGGGCCCAGGGCCCTGCCTAATGGCCTCCATCTCATCTCAGGTGCAGTGTGGTCTAACAGGAAGTCTCAGCAGGAGGCCTCCCTTTCACCAGGGAACAGTCTGGATTGTGTTTGGTTTGAGCCAAGCCCAGTTCCCTGCAGGTGGCATTCAGGGTGAGGGAGATGGGTCTGACCAGCCAAGCGCTTCCCAACTGTCTCCTCATACTGGTCAGCCTCCATCCTGCTGGAAGCAAAGGGACATGAAGGGTACCCTGCCAGTGAGGCACAGAAAGGTGCTAGTCCCCCCTGGGGTCAGGCAGCAAACAGTACCACATGGTCAGTTTCACTGTGTGACAGGCTGAGTGTTCTTAGCTATTGCTCTGGGGGAGCCTTGCCTACAGCCTTAAACCATGTGCACACCAGGTAGCTTCCTGGATTTACTTTCCTTCCTGAGATGATGCCCCTGTGGTGGTCAAGCAAAGGGCACAAAGACGGCCAGGCAGTGCCAGGCCGGGGTAAGGTGCGTCAGCCCACCTCCTTTTAAATCTGAGCTCTGGTGATGAGTTGTGTGAATCCACTGATGGAGCAGAGTCCTGCGTGCGTCCCTCTGGGATAATCACTGAGACCCTGCCCTAATTAGCTCACATGCTGGTCATTCGACAGACCACCTGGATGCCAAGCAAGCTGGGGAGCTGTCCACACTGTTTGACGTGGGCGGGATCTTTGGTGAGTTGCAGACCATTTGCTCTACTTTGTCAAGAACCTAACCGTAAAGCTGGGTGAGTGACACACTCCTGTGAGTTAGCACTCTGAAGCTGAGGCAGCAGGATGGCAACTCTGAGTCTAGTCTGGCCTACACACACACACACACTCACAAAAAAAAAAAAAAAAAAAAAAAAAAAAACAATGTATCAATCCCTGTTTGAGTTAGTTTTACTGTTGGGAGGGCACTGTGTGACACAGTGAACTTAAGCCAGCTGCTCTCAGGATTGACATGCATATACCCTGGGAGGTGGTGGCATTAATACATACCAGGTACTTTGGGATTGCCCTGAAACCTGTGACTCCCATGGTCCGTACAAGATGGGTCCTGTTAGGCAGGCCCCAAGTAGCCACTCTCTGCTGCCCCTTGGGGACAGGGTCCGGGAAGGTTGCTGCTGTTCTTGCCCCTGTGACTTAATCACCTCTGGGGAGCACGTGCCGGGCATCAGCTCCTGAGGGTGTTCCCTCTCTGTTACAGGTGGCATCCTAGCAGGCGTGATCTCCGACCGCCTGGAGAAACGAGCCTCCACCTGTGGTCTGATGCTGTTGCTGGCGGCACCCACGGTGAGTCCTGGCTCTGTCCACTGTCACGGGCAGCGGCTTTCATTTTCTCCACCAGCCACCACTGCCCCCAGCCTGAGCTCCACATCCCTAGAAGCCCAGCTTGTCCCTTGCCAGAAGCACGGGGCCTCCTTCAAGCCGGTCTTCCTCAACCCCTGGGCTGCACACACCCTACTTCTCCCTCACCCTGGGCTTCTCATGGGCAGCTTCTCTCTGTGGAGTGTCACACCCACCTCTGCCCCCTTCCTGATCACACTCTTGCCTGTCCCTTAGGATCTGTGTGCCACCCCTCCCTTCTACACTCAATAAGCCCCATCATGGCAGGCGCATCCTTTTCAAGCATTGAGAAGCTCGTGACCTTGGGCAGGCGACTTCCCTGCCTCAGATTCCTGGTCTGCTCGGGAGAAACATCACCCCATGGTGTGGATGTCACAGCCCATGTGGTGCTGGCCTGCCATTGCAGTTTGTGACACGAGACACCATTCTGTTGCCACATTGTATTTGTCCACTGCCTCTCTCCCCAAGGCTGTCACTGTCCCTGGAACATGACCGAGTCCTCTCAGGCCTCAAGCTCTATAAGGCAATCCTTAGGACATTATGAGCATGGCCCCATTGCTGGGGGGGGGGTACTGCACCCCAGGATACAGTGCTCTCACTCAGACAGGCAGCTTCAGACCTCGGATGAGGAGCTGGGAACTGTTCAGTGTCCTGCCCTCCAGACCTGGGCACTCAGAGTCCCACCCTGCGAATTCTCCAAGGCCTAGAGCTACATGCTCAGCAGCCAGGTCCCTGTTGGCTCCCTTTCTAAACCACAGGCTCCCGGCAGCTTGCAGCTGCCTGTGCTGAGCCGTCTCCTCCTCGTTCTTAATTCCCGCAGCTCTATGTCTTCTCCTCCGTCAGCAAAATGGGACTGGAAGCCACCATAGGTGAGTAACATGAGAGGCCTCGTCACTTGTTCTCTCACACACGGGTCTGTCCACACAGCGCCGTGACATGAAAGGTCAAAGCCAATCCAGTGGCATTAAGCTGAGGTGACTGAGCAGTGAGGCCCCATGTCCCTCTTTGGGAGAGGCCAGGCTCCAGTATCTGGGAATGGACCTGAACAGTGCCTGTGTGACAGTATGGATAAGTCTGGCTACCTGGCCAGCAGTACTCAGCTCTGGGTGCCAAGAGGGGTAGCTTCTCAGAGCTGCCTGGGCATAGGGCATTAGCCACAGCCCTGGAATTCGTTGTGTAAAGGGGAGAACCAGCTGTGGAGACTGCAGGGAGTGGAGGAGGGTCTTATCACAAGTGACCTAGAAAGAACTCTGCCAGTGAACGTGGGGTTCCCCGTGGACCCAGAGTCTCTTCAGGAAAATGAGCTCGTGCAGTTGAAGGGAGGGGCCACATCCCTGCCTGTAGTGAAGAGAGGCTGCCCCTTCTATGACTGAAAAGGCTACGGCATAGACCCGGCGTTGGCCTGGCCTTGGTCCACTCAAGCTCTCATTCCCTCCCACTACCGTCATCAGCTGCTGTCCATGGGGAACTTGAGTTTTAGATCCTGCAAAAGAGGGGACTCTAGCCGGGCATTGGTGGCACATGCCTTTAATCCCAGCACTCGGGAGGCAGAGAAAGGTGGAGCTCTGTGAGTTTGAGGCCTGCCTGGTCTACAGAGCGAGTGCCAGGAGAGGCTCCAAAGCTACACAGAGAAACCCTGTCTCGAAAAACCAAAAAAAAAAAAAAAAAGAGGGGACTCTAAGGCTTTGGAGACGCATGGCGATGCATCCCAGGCACAAAGCAGAAGCCATTTGTCCTGCACCCTGGAGATTGCCCCTGGGGGGTGGGCCCCTCCCTGCCCTGGAAATGCCTGCCCTCACCAGTGGACTGCTGGTTGTGGCAGGCTCCATTCTGAGCCCCCTCTGTTTTCCACAGCCATGCTGCTGCTCAGTGGGGCCCTAGTCAGCGGGCCCTACGCACTGATCACCACCGCTGTCTCTGCAGACCTGGTGAGTCACACGCCGACACCCCTACTCAGAGCCAACAGTGCCTCAGTGGGTAAAGCTTCCTTCACAGGTGTGTCTAGATAGCCTTTGCCTTGAGAGTTTTCTAGCGGCTGACCCTTGCCACACACTCTCAGGGCTCTTCCTCCTCCGTGAGGTGTAAAATCGTATCCCTGAGTGGCCAACAGAGATTGCCCAGCTAAGAAAGAGGCCGAGGAACAGAGCTTTGACCAAGCCTCCTCACTCCATGTCATCTATCCAAGGCAGCAGGTTGACCCTGCCTGACCCTGGTGTTAGGTGTGTTTCTGAACCTGCCCATACCAAGTTTATCCCTTGGGCAGGAGGGCAGGAGTGTGCAGACCTGGCTAAGTGCCCATGGAATGTTCTGGAAGGGTCCACGCCAGGCAAAGCAAAATGGTCAGCACGCAAGGGGAAGAAGCAAAGGGGGGGGGGGGTTCTAGCTGAATTTTTTTAGACTAAATAAGAGAGTCACAAATAATATGACTAAATATGCCCGGGCAGGTATTTTGAAGGATTTCTGTCTCTTAGAAACCCTCGGAGCTTCACTCGGGGCTGCGTAGCGTGTAGAATTTCTAAGGAGAGTGTTCTGTGTAATGGTCGTGTGTGTCAGGGGCGGATTTATTTCTCACTCCTTATCTGCCTGTGTTCCACACCCTTCTTCTCCACTCCCCTAGGGGACTCACAAAAGTCTGAAAGGGAACTCTCACGCCCTGTCCACCGTGACTGCCATCATCGACGGCACTGGATCTGTAGGTACGCAGAGAGCGCCCCTCCCCCCTCCCCAGGAGCTTCGTGGGGCGAAGGAGGGAAGCTATTATTCCTAATGGGTATCCAAGGCTCTGATGCCAGTGTCAGGACTGGCTGCTCCTAGATGCTCAGGCAGTCAGCTGTGGGTGGCTGGATCTGTTTCCTCAGTGGGAGTGAATGTACCCCGAGGCTCTCGTTTGACCCAGGAGTTGGCAAACTTGAGGCTCTCACTCACCTTTCGTTACTGTCCCTCCAGGAAAGACAGGATCTTATTTCAGTTTAAGTTACGGGAAAACAGATCAATCCAGAAGTACACACGATCCTGTCACCCACCTTGCTGAGGTCTCTGAAGAGATTCCTTAGCACGCTCGGGAGTGATGAAAGGTGGCAATGTAAATGTCTCATCCCTGTGTTAGTCAGTTTTGTGTGACTGTAACAAAATACCACAGAGGACCAACTTCAGTAGAGGGAAGGATTGTTTTGGCTCACAGTTTAGAAGATTTTATCCTGTGGCCGGATATTGGTTGGCCCTCTGTTTTGTGCCTGTGGGAAGCAAAGCATCATGATGGGAACATCATTCTACTCCCCTCATGGCAGAGAGAGAGGAAGGGGACACCCAGTGATGTAACTTCTTCCCACTAGGCCCTCTGTCCTGAGTGTCCCACCAATTCTCAGCATTACCAGAGGTTGGTGACCAAGCCTTTAGCGCAGAGCCCTGTGGGGCATTCCAGGCCCAAACTGGTCCTCCTTGGGGCACAGACAGCTAGGATCTGGTAAAACACCAAGCCTGGAGATGGCTCCTTGGACCTTGCCCTCACCAAATACAACCTGAGCCTATGGAGGGCTGAGACACCTTTTGCTGCTCTTCTGTAGATGGGAGTTTAGGCTCCCACCTGGGTGGCATCGTCAGTGAGTTGCGCAGATGCTGGCCCAAGGCAGCTATAGAACCTCATCTCTGTTCTGTCCCCCCCCCCCCCCCCCCGCTTCTGGGGCTTCTTCCTGTGAGAGACTGGTTTGTCCTGCCAGGCATGGGGAAGGTCACTATTGTCAATAAAGCCGGGCTTCAGCTTAGCTGGTCACCAAGGTCAGGCGCGGCTAGTCCTCAGCATTGGTTCCTTCATTTTGTTGAATATGGAGGTGATATGTGTGTGTATTGGTTGGCATTTGTGGTCACTGGTCTGACGATGCCTGTCAGGGGCCCTCGTGGCCCCTGGGGTGTGTCTGGGACATGGGGGTGAGGGGTGGGGGTCACTGGGTTGCCATGTCTGGATGGGTCTCAGAAGCAGTACAACCCTTCCTGTGAGGAGTGGGTCACCAGCCTCCCTGTTCACCCAGCCCAAGAGAGATGTCACACAACTTTAGACTTGCTGCCCCCCCAACACACACACATACCCTCCCTACTGTGTCCTACAGAAGTCTGCTGTTCCCAGGACTCCATGCTTAAAGCTAACATGGAGTCCTGCCAGCAGCATGGGCACTACAGTAAAGAGAGAACAGAAGAGAAAGAAAAATCAGGAAGGAGGTGGGGGTGGGGGGGAAACTCTTCTCTCTTGACATTCGCCTCAAACATGAGGCTAAAAGGAGAGAGGCTGCCTCAGGGGAGAGGTGGACCTCACCACAATGCTGGGCTGCGGAGGAGGAAACCACCATGTTCTAAACAGAAGGGCAGCAGGCCAGGGAGCCTTCTCTGCCCTCAGCTGCCCCTCTTCAAAGCCCGTCCCCACCTGGGTTTCTGCAGCATTGCCATTGGAACCTGGTGGGCTGGACTCCTGGACCCCAGCCCCCATGCTTCCCTAATTGCTCAAGTGCACAGGGACTCAGTAGCCAGTCACCATGGAAACAGCATGAACACGGGTCCTCCATCAAGTCCCAGCTTTGTGTCTTTCATGCACACTACCCACAAGATGAAGCAAGAGAAGGCTCCAGGGACAACACACCACTTTAGCAGAAGCATCGCACAGGGGAAGTGTTTGCCCCCAGTGCTTGTCAAGTGCTCATGTCTATTAGTACAGGTTTAGGCAAAGGCACAGCTCAACGGATTCCAAACCAGCCAGTACCTTCTCCTAAGTCGGGGATGCCTTATATAGCTCATGTGTTTTCAGTGTCCAGACTGACATGTCAGTGGGACTCAAGGCTGTCCTTCTTACATGTGTGTGCAGAACAGTTAAATACAGCCATGGGTGTTTTCAGGGTTTAATTTTACCAAAGTAATACATAATGTAGCCACAGGGGCTTCATAGACCTAAGAGCTTTTATGATACAATGTGACAGGCCCTGGCTGTGCTTGCCCAGGCCCTCCTCTTAGAATAGGTCCCTCCCACCAGCTGTTGCTGCTAGCCTCACCTCATAATGAATTTCCTGGGCTCCTCCGTCTAGACAGCATCTCAAGTCCCCTACCTGAGGAAACTAGATGTGGCTCTTCCCAGACTCTGCCCTATACCTCTCCATCCCACTGGCTCTGCCAGGAAGTCAGCCTTGCGGGTCCTCAGACCTGACATCCTCCTCTATGACTTAACTGTCCCTATTTACTTTTTGTTTCTGTCCTGGTTGCCCCTGCCCTTGACACCACCACCACCTCCTAAGTCCCTTTCTTGCTGCCCTCCATCTGGCAACCTGGTGTCAGGCCACACAACTGCCTACCAAGCTACATAGACTGCTTCCTCTCTAACCGCCACACTGCCTTCTCCTCACTCTGGTATCTGAACCCTATTTGCTAGATTCCCGGTCACTGCTTCTCTGTGGGTGGCACTGTCATCTAGGAGCTTCTTAAGATTCCTGGAGCTTGGCAAGGCTGTGGTATTGGGAGTCCATCTTCACTTAACATCTTCCAGAACCCCAGTGTCTCTCAGTTTCCATCTCTGGCAGTAGACATCGGCTGTCACTCTCATCCGCTCTCCACACTGACCTGGCTATCCTCCTCTGGGTCTTTGGGTCTCCGTCTTACTCTCCTTGCTGCCCCTTGGCAGGCTTCCATGTGGAAGCAGGCCGTGCATCTTAGGGGGTGGGTGCTGCTGTTCCTTTGCTAAGTTTGGCTGCCATTTTCCATCTTGCTTTCTGGAAAACATTAGTCAAAAGTCAGGTTTCCAGATCGTTTCTTTCTGTTTGTCCTGCCTGCCTCTCCTATTCTCTCTCACAGACGTACGTCCTTGACTTTATCTTTCAACCTTTGTCTTCTTATTTTAGCTGTCATGTTTTCAACACTCATTAATTTTTTTAAGTGCCATTTTGGTGTCCCAGACACTGTGTTGGGTGAGAATTAATTGCTGATAGCTTATCTTCAGCTACAAAAATGAGGATTTCTCAAGATCCCAGTTGGCTTTCCATGTGCACGAGGATGGTATTCTCCACACCTGGGGAATCTTCTTTTGGTTTAAACTACCCCTGGGTTTCCCGCCTCACAGTTTGTATGTGGTCACAGCTGGGTCTTTCTCAGCTATGGGTCCTCTAAGCTGCCCCTTTGTATTTAAGAACAAGCCATTAAACTAGTGTGATCATGGAGTCCTTTCTCTTGGAGAGTACCCCCTGGTCTTCACAGATCAGCCTAGAATCTGCAGGAACCTTCCTGTCCACAGGGTACTCAGTGCTGGTGCTCTTGCCATTGCTGAGCAGGGATGGCTGCTTGGGGGCTGGTCTTTTCCCTGGGTCCCTATTCTCCGTTAGGTGCCTTCCCCATACCCTTCATAATGTCTGCTGTCCCCAGAGGTTCAGCTACTGCTCTTTAGTGGGGTATCACCGAGTCACTGATGAGAGGGGACCTGGACTCTGAGGTAGTGGAGGGAACAAATGATGGCCCTTTGCCTGCTGCAGCCCCTCCCCCTATGTCATGTGCTTGGCCAGCCTAGCTATGGGGAGACATCCCCTGGTTGTGCCCACTGTTGTCTTGAAAACAAACATACAAAATAGCATGTTTTTCTCTCCTCCGCCCTCTACTTTGTGGATTTACGCTTTTTGAAATTCAGCTGCGGTGCACTCTGTGGTCTTCGGGGGTGTGCAGAGTAAACTCACATGAGTAGCTGATGCTTGCCTGCCACCATGCTGAGACATGGAAAAAGTTTATCAAAGCAGATCAAAGAGTAATGTGTGTGCCGTGCATACCCTCGGAACAGTCAGTGTGGATGAAGTACTACATTGCAGTCAGTAACCTGGAGGCGATCCCCCAAGCATGCAGCGGCTAGACCAGCCATCTCCTTGTCAGAGCCCCTCCCCCAGCCCATCCCCACCCCTGCAAGGGAAATACTCCAGGCAGATGTCTTTGGTTTGTATAGCTTTCAAAGTTTATTTGACATAATTTTAGACTTGCAAAAAAAAAAAAAAAAAACTCTCACAAATATAATGCAAAAACAGTTCACAGGTATCTTGAGTTTTCTTTATTCCACAGCTCATTCACACACTCATGCACACGCATTCACATGCCTGCTTGTACACACACATGCACACGTGTGCACATATGCACACATGGTATACTTATGCACAATACATATGTGTGTATATATATACACAGTTGTGCATACATACACAGCATTTGTGCAGGTGTGTACATATGCATGCTTATGTTCTCACACAAACTTGTATGCATGAATACACATGCTTGCACACTACTCTCTGTAAATAACTGGCCAGCACCCCCCTCAAATACAGGGAGCTCCCTGGCTGGCGGCGGTCAGAATTGGGCAGTTGACGTGGGCAGGGTCTAAGTCCTGTGTTTCTTATAGATTTATTCAGTGACGTTTGCTGAGCACTGGGGTATCTGAGAGCGTGTGTTGGGTTTGGAATTATTTACCTAAGTCCATTTATTTATTTATTGTTTGTTTTATTGAAACAGGGTCTCGGTAGTTCTAGCACTCACTATATAATCAGGCTGGCCTTGAACTCACAGAAATCCTCCTGCCTCTGCCTCCCAAGTGCTGGGGTTAAAGGCGGGCGCCACCACACCCAGCTCATTTATGATGGCTTGTCAGGCAGGATGGACATCTCAGAGATCAAAGTTTACTTTTAGAATGGGTTCCAGAAGATGTGTATGGCAGTTGCTCCCTGCTCAGCACTGAGCTAGTCTCCCTTGTTGGCCATCCTTAAGCAGTGTCTGTGTGCCTGTTCCAGGAGCCGCCTTGGGCCCTCTGCTGGCAGGATTCATCTCCCCTTCCGGATGGAGTAACGTCTTCTACATGCTGATGTTTGCAGACGCCTGCGCCTTACTGGTGGGTCTCCTCGCTTCTAACCCACGCACCTCCAGTTAGCCACCCTGGAGCTGTGGCACTGACCCTAGTCCGCCTGCTGTGTCAGTCGCTATAGCAAACACCAGACACAGTCAGATTGGGAAGGTTCAGTTTGGCCCACAGCTTTGGATATTTCAGTCCAGGATTGCTTTGAGCCTATGATGAGGCTAACCCCTGAAAAGAAACTACTCACCTCATGGCTAGGAAACACAATAGAGAAAGAGGAAGGGGTTAGGGCCCCACTATCCCTTTTGAGCATACCCAGTGACCTACAGACCTCCCAATGGCCCATAATCCCATACTCGATACATACAACTGCCACAAATTTGAGGCTAGCCCAAGCTGTATAATATGCTACAGGCTCAGCCCAGACTGCAGAATGAGACCCTGTTTTGAAGAAGAGCCAAAAAAGCTGGAGATGTAGCTCAGTTGGTAGAGTGCTTGCCCAGTATACACAAAGCCTCGGGTTCAATCCCTAGCACCATATTAAACTTAGAGTTGTGACATACCCCTGTAACCCCGGCAGTGCACCCCTGTAGCCCCGGCACTGCACCCCTGTAGCCCCAGCACTGCACCCCTGTAACCCCAGCTCATGACACCCAGGGGGCAGACACTGGGAGTGGGCAGCTCCCATTCTGCTGGTCACTGTCACCTGCATAGGCACAGAGCATTGTCGGAAGATGACCTGGGTCCTTCCGACCCCTCACACAGGCTGTCACATTCCCACAGGCAGCACTTGTCTTGCCTCTTCCTTCTTCTGCTTGGCAGTGTGGTTTCCCCGTCACAGGCCTCTTCTGCTCGCACTCGCCACGCATTGTGCTGGGTGGGAGTGGCGGTGCTGGCAGGCTGATAGCTCAGCCCTGGGTAGTTAGAGCTAGAGCTGGAGTTAGTCCCAAGTTGCTGCAAAATCTTACTGCCGCCAGCTCTGGTTCTGGCATTTCCTTTCCTCGTTCCCACCGCTTTTCAGTGAGTGGACAGTGATTGTTCTTGGGCCAAGCCAAGTTCTGGGACAGTGTATTGTCCAGAAGAGACGTTCCCATTCTCCTTAGCTTATGCTTGTGGGCCTCCAGCTTTTTTGTTTGTTTGTTTGTTTTTGTTTTTTTGAGACAGGATTTCTCTGTGTAGCTTTGGAGCCTATCCTGGCACTCGCTCTGAAGACCAGGCTGGCCTCGAACTCACAGAGATCCACCTGCCTCTGCCTCCCAAGTGCTGGGATTAAAGGTGTGAGCCATCACCACCGAGCGTGGGCCTCCATCTTGAATGTGGGGCATCTAAGAGCCAAGGCCAAGGCCTGGTATGCAGCAGATGGGGAGCCGTTGTCTCTCAGCACCTGCACTGCCTGCTCCCCCACCCCCAAATCCCTCTGGATTAAGGGTGCCTGCTGCCTTTTAAGTACCTGCCACCAGAAGCTGAGACTCCTCTCAGGGTCCCCTTGCATTGCTGCCCCAGAACCTGACTGAGGTCTGCTGGCATGGTCTCTGATGACAGTGTCTCCATGGGGCATAAGCCTATGGGTGCTTCAGAGGGGGAGCCACGCATGTCCAGTAAGCCTCAACAAGCCACACCTGCCCTCTGCTTCTGTCCTCACACCGTGACAGTGTCTCTTCTCTGTTTTGGACGCAGTTCCTGATCCGCCTCATACACAAGGAACTCAGCTGTCCAGGGCCGACTGCAGGGATCCAGGCTCCGTAAGTCCGCTGTGGCCTCTCCAGAGTTAGGGCAACTCCAGGCAGCCTGACAGGAAGGGAAAAGCTAACCTCTCATCCTGGTTTGGGCACACCACAGTCCCTCTCATTTCTTGTCTACTAAGTGCCTCTGTGTGGGTGTGATTCCGAGAATCTCTCCTCACACTCCCAGCAAGGGGAATGTGAGGAAATCGCCTTCTTGGTGGAGTTTGTTGAGCTGTGGCTTCCCAGGCAAGAGTCTCTCCAACAGCTGTCCTCCCCTTCCTCCCTGCTCCCTGCCACCGAGAAGCCATGGGAAGGACACGTAGTTCACCCACCAGCCAGCTCCTGAAGCAAGACATCCCAGGGAGGAAGGCACAGGGCTGGCCGTGGGTGGGGTCTGTGTGTTTTAAGTGTGTTTGATATTTGCTGATATTGCCCTCTGTCACCTCATCCTTTGCTTTTAGGCTGAAGGAACACTGACCGTGACTCCTGGAGCACCTGGACACATCTTAACACACACCGTCTTCGGAAAAGCAGAAATGAAGGGTCTGTCTTAAAAAGGAAGCCACCTCGCCTTTGCATATGCATCTGGGAGCCACTCTCAAGCCACCCTGAGACTTGCTGGACAGACAGACATGGAGCTCAGAATGACAATGGGGAGTCTGCCTGGCTGTGTCCCACTGCCTTAATGGGCCAAGGCCCAATGGCCCAGCCAGTCCCAGCCTGGCAGGTGTATGATGCCCACTAGCCACTAAACTTGAGCCTGTACAGCTACAGGCAGGACTGGCCTGCACAGCACCTAGGCAGCCCACCCCTCTCAGGTATCTAGTGTAGAATGTTATATAGCTCGTGAGCCTGGGCCATCCTGCTCTCCTGTTTCCTGAAAGTGCAGGGTGAAAGGACAGAACATGTCACAAATGTCCCAGCAACTAGCCAACAGCCTCTGAATAGCATGAGAAAGCCCGGTCACAGACAGAAACCAAGATGGAGTCCACACCCAGCAGTCACGAAGACCCATGCTCAGAACCAAGCAGGAAACTGTGCATGTCAAGATGTGAATGACTGTGAAGCAATAAGTCCCAACAAGACAGTGGCACTAGGAAGGCCAGTCCCAAAGCATGTGCTGAGTCCCCTACAGGACTGAGAGAGCACAGAAGCTGGGTGCCAGGAGCAATGGGTCCCACCCAGCCATTCCTCTTACCCGAGACACCTAGGCTGTTTCTAGTCCCACAGGGATTATTTATTTTAAATGTATAATGTGTTATATAGATTTTAAGAGATATAAATGGGATTTTGTTATTTATTAAGACAAACTATGATTGTTCTGTGGCCATTTGTTGTCTTGGTTGTATATATCTGCTCTTTGAAATAAATGAGCTTTTATTAAAAAAAAAAAAAAAAGCCCAAGTACAACATATGATTATTTCCACCCAAGTCTTCATTTGGATAAGAAAAGACTCCAGACAGACAACATCGCTTTGGTTTTCTTAGGAGTGGAGATGATCAGTTGTTTTACATGTTTCTGGCATGGAATACCTGACAAAGGATACTTAAAGGAAAGAAAAGTTACTTTTGGCTCACGTGGCAGGGAAGGCATGCTGGCCGGAGCTTGAGGCAGCTGGGCACATTGCATTGGCAGTCGGGAAGCAGAGAGAGGTGGTGACTGGTGACCAGCTGGCCTCTCCTTTATATACAGTCTGAGACCCCAGACCATAGAATGGCTTTGTCCCAGGAAGTGGGTCTTCCTGCTTCAGTAAACCCAAACTAGAACATTCATCAGATACATGCCTGGAAACGCGTGTCTTTGGTGATTCTAGAGTCTGTCAAGTTGAAAATATTAATCATGTTAATCATTACAAAGCCATTTTTGCTGACTTTTGCAACAGAAAGGGTGCTCTCTATCAGAGTGTACCCCAGCTCCACACAGAAGGCTGCCAGGGTCCCAGTAAACCAGCTCTGAATATTTGGTAAGTTGTGGAATGTAATGAATATCCCAACACTTGTCCTTGACAGTGAAATGGCACTTGGTGAGTGAGAGAGACACACACATGGACACTGGCAGGGGCACTTGGGCCTTCAGTCCTCAGGACCTGCATGGCCCAAGTTCATGATGCATGAACTCTGAGAAGAGGTGGGGTGCTATGCTTTGAGGTAGTTCTGCCGAGGTGCCCACGGCAACAGGCCATGACTCATGGGGTCGAGTGGAGCACCCCCAAGCTCTGCAGACCAACAGCTGGTGCAAGGCCTGTCCCTGAGCTCCTCTGGAATGGAAGCCCACTGCCATCACTGGGCTTCCATCTTTAGTTGTCATCATTGTTCGGGTTTTTGGTATCATTTTATTTTTAATGTTATTCTCTTATTCTCTATAGACATTGACTTGATTGTCACTCTCTTACACACAGAAGTGACCAGCCCTCCTAGTGATACAGAAGATATGGGGGTCCCCTTTGGGGTTTAGTCTCATTAAGAAAAAGAAAAGAATTTAAGAATGGACTCAAATGTTAGCTCGAGAGTACTGCTTTTAGAGTTTAAAAGAAAAGCCCCAAGGCAAACAAGCTGTAGAGCCTCAGCCCCTGCCCAGAGGAGAAGAGAAGGGAAAAGCCATGCTTTAACCTAACATAGAGGGCAAACACATGGCAGACAACAGCCACATGGTGGGAGAGAAGCCTTAGAGAAAGACCAAGGAAGTCCCAAATGTTAGGGGAAGAGAAAGCCCAAAGTGTTAGGAAAGCACTCTAAGAGATAGGAAAAAAGGAAAAGGCAAAACAGGCAGACTGACACACACACACACACACACAGATTCTCTCTGTGCCCACCGCCTCTCTTCATGAGGAGGTCTCCAGCATTGGCTTGCAGGTCTTGTGCATACTGTCACAATTGCTGTGAATTCATATGTACAACTGCCCTGTTGTGAGATTTTTTTTTTCCAACACAGGATTTCTTTGTGTAGCCCTGGCTATCCAGAAACTCTCTCTGTAGACCAGGCTAGCCTCTAACTCAGAGATCCACCTGCCTCAGCCTCCTGAGTGCTGAGATTAAAGACATGTGCCATCACCACCCAGCTGAGATTTTTTTTTTAAATATAAACAAATTCTTTTAAAACCCACTGTTCTCTGCCTACAGAAGGGTCCTCTGAGGCTTCACCCATCACGTCTCCTGGTATGGGGCAGTGGCAGTCCCAGCCCATGGCCACCAGGCACTTAGTGAGGGAAACCTCAAGGGATGATGGTTCCACTCCCAGCTCAATGTACCAAAATCTTCCATGGCCCATGGAGAAAAGCTGTCCTATATTCCTTCACCTTCCAGGCTGAGCCTGGAGATGGGTACTTAGAGGCTGTCTGAAAACACACATACACACACACAGTTTAGCAGGAATTCAGTTGATGAATGGAGAAGACTTTGCCATGAGTTTAAAGGGAAAAGTGTATAGTTTCCGTATAAGAACCGGCTTTCTTTTCATCCAGCAGTGGCTGAGATCACTGGAACCTGAAAATAGCAGCTAAGACCCACGCTACAGTCACGTGGAAATGTGCTGGCCTATGGCTCCCACTCAAGTCTGCAAACAGTCCCTGCATGGCAGGACTGCAGGCAGACAGACACACAGGGCAGACCAGGGAGCCCAGGCCTGGAAGGAAGAAACATCGACCGAGATCCCTTGGCCCCCAGCCATGAGTCAAAGGTTCTCAGTAGGTTTTCCTCATGTGCACATCAGATTGTCCACAGCAGGGGCCAGAGCCAGCCCTCCAGACACCGGCCTCTAAAATCTACTCAAAATAGGGCTTGGGATGTAGCTTAGTTGGTAGAGTGCTTGCTAAGCATTCATGAGGCCCTAGGTTTGGCCCCCAACACTCATGCCTTTAATCTCAGCATTCTGGAAGTAGATGGAGAATCAGAGAAGTTCAAGGTTATTCTGGGCTACAAAATGAATTCAAGGACAGCCTGGGTTATGTGACAAAACAAAAAGTCTAGTCAACAAAATGTGTCTTTCCAAAAAATGAAAGCCTAGTGTCCTCTGTGTGTATGTGTGTGTGTGTCTGTCTGTCTGTCCGTGTATGTGTCTTTGTCTGTCTGTGTGTTTGTTCATGTATGTCTCTCTCTCTCTCTCTCTCTCTCTCTCTCTCTCTCTCTCTGTGTGTGTGTGTGTGTGTGTGTGTGTGTGTGTGTGTGTGTGTGTGTGTGTGTTTAGGGATTCCACTGATTTGAGCAAGTAAAAGTATTTTCTACCCTTGACCACATACAATCTCTCTGTGGGGCACCTACCCTCCAGCCCTGGGTAACAATCAAATAGTCAGTTGTCCTGGGACCCCCAAAGGACACATATGTGTTCTTCTGAGGTAGACAGTAGTAGGCTTCCTGCAGCCACTCTGCTCCCAGACCCCTCCTAGCTGACTGGCATTCTGAGAGAAAAAAGCATATAGTTGCTTTTCTTCTCACTCTGACAAAAGCCATGTAAATACAGAAAGACTTAATTTGGCTCTCAGTTCAAGGATACAAGCCCATGGCAGTGATGAAGGCAGGGAGGCAGGATCCTGAGGATGCTCACATTGTCTACAGTTAGGAAACACTGGGGAATGAAGCTAGGGTTCCAGCCTGTGGCATGGTGGCCCCTGAAGTAGGGTGAGCATTCCCTCTGCAGTTAAACATTTTGGAAACCCCCTAGAGATACACACAGAGGTATATTTCTGTGGCAACTCAAAATCCAGTCAAGTTGAGGGTCCAAATTAAATACCTAATCTGAGGCAAGTGACAAGACTCCTTACAAGTATGAGCAGGGCTCATTACATCCATGCCTGTCTCCTGCCATGGTGACTGTTGACACTGGAGAAGGTGACTGCTCATTAAGCTATCCCAGAACACAGGATATGAAGCAGAACCGCTGGGACCTTCATGTCAGGAGAGCCACAAAGAAAGGCAGCTTATCTAGTCCCACTGCCAATCTGTGGGAGACTGTGAGAGTACCTTCTTACTGCAACATCATGATGGAAGGGGTGAGAGATCTCTCTTGAGCCTCTTTTGCTGGGGTCCTAGTCTCACTCAGGAGGGCTCCTGAAAGCCACCCCCAATGTATGCCTGACAGGAACCTCCAGCTGTATACATGACAGGCACCCCCAACTGCATCATTAACCTGGGCTAGTACACACAGCTATGACCCCAGTCACTCCAGGCGGGCAACACGCCCCCTTTATGGGCTGGAGTGTATTGACATGCAGCATGGTTAGCTCTGACTTTATCCTACTTTTCAGACCAACCACAGGACCACCATCAATCTCCTAGTTTGGAGGAGGTCCTCACCACTGTCTCTCAGGCTCAGGGAAAACTGCCCTTGACAGCTTCCCACACACAGGAATCCCTGTGGGTGTCTCAGTTCAGCCCGGCTCTAATGACTGACTCCCTCACAGCACATAACTTTCCCAGCGCATCTCGGTTCAGTCTTGAATATTTTCCAAAAACGTTACCTCCTGAAAAATGTTTGCAAAGAATGCAAATGACTTGAGTGCCTCTTCAAAGTGGGTTCCAGCCATATTTGAAAATACTCTTTTTTTGGAGGGGGGTGGGTTTCGAGATAGGGTTTCTCTGTGTAGCTCTGGCTGCCCCAGAACTCACTCTGTAGACCAGGCTGGCCTCGAACTCACAGAAATCTGCCTACCTCTGCCTCCCTAGTGATGGGGTTAAAGGCGTGTGCCACCATCACCTGGCTTGAAAGAACTCTTAATGAAGAGCTCTCCCTTTTCATTGTGGTGCATTCAGGGCACAGGGCATTTAAATATCTAATGATTCACTCTGTGTGAAGTTCCAGGCCTTTATAGGCCTTATATACATAGACAGGATATAGCGGATTCATAAGGGTGTACCTAAACAAGCATCCCCAGCCACCTTCTTCATGCACTGTTCTGAAATCTATTCACGAGCCCTATGAAGATGGTTGTTCTCTTAGGGCGGTGCTCACATTAGAGCTGTTGTCACAGTGAGGTAAGCTGTGAGGAGATGGCCATGAGGAATCTTTTTTGTTTCTTTTTTGTCTTGAGAAGGGGTCTGTCTGTGTAGCCCTGGCTGTTCTGCATTACAGATGTGGGTCACCCTGCCCAGCCCCCCATGAAGTCTTAACTCAGTCACGCAGAGGGGGTGGTTTAAGCCACTGTTCACTGAGTGAAGCACCATCTGAGTTGAGGTAAGCATTGCTGTTGTGCACCGCCACGACGTTTGAGTCAAATAACCTTTTTCTCTGGTGTAGTTCTAGGTTCCACATGATGCAAATGAAAAAATCTGACATTTATCCCAGCCCTGGAAAGATTGTAAGACAGACTCCGGCAAAGGGAAACGGACAGAAAGAACAGATTTCCGGAATAAATGCAAGCACCTGCCACACAGCAGCCGTCTCCATCTGG